ATTCAGTAGTGGTTATGTTAACAACAGTGGGATCCTGCCTGGGGATATGGCTGAGGATGTAATGCCCTTGTAGCTCCAGATATTTTGTTTTGGTAATTGTGCATATACTTTCTGCCTGCTGTTTTGATCCTGCTGTTGCTATTGTTTTCTGGAGACTCATGCTGCTGTGTCCTGCCTCCCTGCCCAGCCTAAATTCCATTGTACCCACCCCACGGGCCTTTTGTGTAATGCCAAGCTAGCAAAAATCCTGGCATCTGACTCTTTTGTTGCCCGAGGGAGGTATGTGGGAAAGGCAGCTCATCACGCTCACTCAGGACGGCAACTTGGCACAGACTGCACAGTAGTTTCCACTAGAAGTCTCTCGGGCTGAGAGATGATTTTGCTTCAGGTGCACACACATCCACTTTCTGTGTTTGCAATTGAGTTTTATTTGCCAGAACAGCGAAGGAATGCAGCTCTTAGGATTTTATACCATGGCTTTCACACTCCAAGTGGTATGTTGAACTAATGCATTATTCGTATTACAGTAGTTCTTGCAGGCCTTCCCCCACATCTAAATCCCATTGTTCTTGCAGTATAAAAGCAGTCAAAAACAGACCTCAGCACAGAAAGACTTATAGCAATTTACAATGACTAAAGGAGAACCTTTAGGAGGTTCTAAGTTTCTAAGTCTCTCAAAACGACTGAGACCTCCCCATTTTCAAGCATCACTCTACTCCTGAAAAGATCGGGACCAGACAGAACTCACAAAGAGTAATTTAAAATAAACAGAAACCACCCCATGCCTAACCCAAGGCTCCCCCACAGGCTTAGAAATACCCTGAATAAAGAAGCAGGAGAAAGTCAAAGATCTTTAGTTATTCAGAAATGGGCACCATAAGTAGCCCCAGTTCAAGCACAGCTTGTTGTGGCAGAAGATGTTGGGGTCTGCTGGTGCTCACCTCCTCATCCTGGGCTTTGAACCCAGGGCAGGCATCTCCTGAGATAACCCCCACCCAGACCCTGGGATTTATACCTGGTACAGCTCTCCATGGCAGCCAGGGACACATTCATCTTCAGGGCAGGTGCTGTAGTATAGTAGCATGTGAGGAGAGGTAGGGTTTGCTTCCTGGTTTTGTGCCCGCAAATACACTTGACATAAAACAAACATGGGACAAAACCAGAACTAAGCCAGAGAGAAAAGACTGCAACTTTAAATACAACCCTCCCAGCTGGGGGGGGTCTCTGGCTGGAGATGATAGAAAGCTGTAAGTGCCACAGATAGATAGACAAGATTTGATATATTTTGAGATGAGTGCTGCTTTCAGAGTAAGGAGAAAAAAAAAAGTCCTCACGCCCCCCTGTATGTCCAAGGCAGACAAGCAGTCAGGTCTGATGCAGGTAGGAACAGACAAAGAGAAAAGCAAAATAGCTGGGCAGGAATAGGAGACTGGAAAGGAAAAAAAGTTTGTTCTGGTTGAAGTCACATTTGCACATTCGTGCTGTAGAGTTTTCCTTCTCAGGCTGCTTGTTATCACTTCTCCTCCTTCTCAAAGTTTGCAGTCCTTTCTGGGCTAGTGGCATAGCTGTTAGAGCAGTCATGCCCAAAGCCATTTCATTCAAAATGGGGTGGGCTGGCAAAGAGCTTCTTCTCAGCCTGTTCAGGGCAGCCCAGTTTGCTTCTGCTGACACAGGTTGGGGGATACTAGCATGAGGAGTAGAGATAGCAGATCGAGAAGGGCAGTAGTTTCTGGCATACTCAAAGACTGTAAATTTCAAATGTCTTCACTGTGAATGTTTTGTCTTGCTCTCTTCATGACTATTAATATCAATGACATTTTTCTATGTGATGGTTTCTCTTCCTGACTCACACAAAAGAAGACAGGCCACACAGGATGACTTCAGTCTGAAATTTTGCTGTTTCATTGCCTTCTTTCCCTTCCTTCTGTTTTCTTTCCTATCTTTTAATTTTCATTTTTAGCAGGCCATTAAAGGGTGACAATTTATTTCTAGAAAACAGGTATTGAATAGCCAAAGGCTTCTCATAAGCACAGGATTGGGTCCTTTAGATACCAGCTGCTGTGCTGGTATCCTTGGTTCCTGCCTTTCTGACCCATACCTCTGTTAGCAAATCTCTGTGAGGCTCTAAGTCCTTCAATTTTTCACTTGGAGTGTTGTCACACTGTTGTCAAACAGAGAAAGAGAGTCTTATTTCCACCCTTTGATTTAGGAAGATTAACAACAGGGCACAGCCCTATTCAGAGTTCATTTTCTTTCCCATCTGTGGATTTTAAGAGCCTTGAGACAGCTGCCTGTCTGGCCAATGTGAAACCAAGTCTGTCACATAGCTGGAAGGCAAAAATAGGTTCCCTTGACTTTGTAATAATAGCCTTGTTTTGTTTTTCTGGTATGTTACTTTTTTGCATAAGTTTCTCTCAAGTCAATATTTACTGCTTGTCTATGTTGTCCATTAAGTCGTGATAGGGAGAGGACTGCAGCTTGGAGCCTGCTGACAGGATCCACAGCTCAGGAATATTCTGTTGGCATCAGGGATGCTTCAGCTTTGCCAAAATGAAATGCTAGAAGGAGACTCTATCTGAGATAGGTCACACACTGTGTTTTGGATTTGATTCCTTCCATCTGTTTGCCATAACTATCCATTCCTCGTCCAGGAAAAAGCCTTTCTGGAGCATGTCATCTTTCTCTACTCTCATAGTCAAATGCTTAGATTCACCCTGCAATCTCTGTGCCGTTCATCGGTCAGTGCAGCAGCAGTTGCTAAGGCTAAGTGATGAGGTCACTACTGCGGAAAAGGTAGTAACAAATTCCAAAACAAATCAAAGAAGTTAAGGCGTATAAAATGTTCACATACAGCTGCCTGTGTTGAGACTTGCAGATGTTCAGTTTTGAGATGTTCTTTTCTTGCCATTTTGTTTTTGATTTTTTTTTTTTTAAACAGTGTTCTCTTTCTTTTGCTGAAAGATCTTAATTTTAGGGAAAGGCATACTGCATAACATCTTAATCCTTCAATGTCAATGGCCTATTTGGGCCCTATTTGGGCCCTTTAATTTTTTTTTTTTCCTTCAAAGCCAGAGCTATTATTTAATCTTTTGATCTTTAGAATCATAGAATGTTGTGAGTTGGAAGGGACCCACAAGGATCATCGAGTCCAACTCCTGTCCTAGCATAGGACAATCCCAAGATACAGACCATCTGTCTGAGGGCGTTGTCCAAATGCTTCTTGAATATTGTCAGGCTTGGTGCCACGACTGCCTCCCTGGGGAGCCTGTTCCAGTGCTCCACCACCCTCTGGGTAAAGAACCTTTTCCTAATGTCCAACTTAAATCTCCCCTGGCACATCTTCCTGACATTTCCTCTGGTCCTATTGTTGGTCGCCAGGGAGAAGAGATCAGTGCCTGCTCCTCCTCTTCTCCTTGTATGGTGGGCTGACCCTGGCTGGATGCCAGATGCCCACCATAGCCTATTCTATCACTCCCCCTCCTCAACTGGGTAGGGGGGAGAAAAATATAATGAAAGGCTTGTGGGTTGAGATAAGGACAGAGAGAGATCACTCACCAATTACTGGCACGGGCAAAGCAGACTCGACTTGGTGGAAAAAACAGAGTTTAATTTATTACTAAACAGACAAGAGGATAATGAGAAGTAAAACCAAATCTCAAAACATCTCCCCTCACCCCTCCCTGCTTCCTGGGCTTGACTTCTTTCCTAATTTCCACCTTCTTCCCCCACAGCGGCACAGGGAGATGGGGAATTAGGGTTGGGGTCAGTTCATCACACATTGTTTCCTCAGGAGGAAGACTCCTCACACTCTTCCCCTGCTCCAGTGTGGGGTTCCTCTCACAGGAGACAGTCCTCCATGAACTTCTCCAACGTGAGTCCTTCCCATGAACGACAGTTCTCCACAAACTGCTTTAGCACAGGTACTTTCCATGGGGTGCAGTCCTACAGGAACAGACTGTTCCAGCGCAGGTCCCCCATGGGGTCACAAGTCCTGCCAGCAAACCCCCTCCAGCGTGGGATCCTCTCTCCACGGGGCCACAAGTCCTAACAGGAACCTGTTCCAGCTTGGGCTTCCCATGGGGTCACAGCCTCCTTCAGGCATCCACCTGCTCTGGTGTGGGGTCCTCCACAGGCTACATGTGGTCATCTGCTCCACCATGGACCTCCATGGGCTGCAGGGGGACAACCTGCCTCACCATGGTCTTCACCACAAGTTACAGGAGAATCTCTGCTCTGGCACCTGGAGCACCTTCCCCTCCTCCTTCTTCACTGACCTTCGTGTCTGCAAGGGTTGTTTCTCTCACATCTTCTCACTCCGCTCTCTCTAGCTGCAAAAGTGTACATTTTTTTTTTTCTCTTCCCCTTTTTTCTTAATGTTGTTATCACAGAGGCGTTACTGATTGGCTCAGTCTTGGCCAGCAGCGGGTTCGTCTTGGGGGGCATTGGCTGTGTTGGACATGGGGCAAGCTTCTGGCAGCTTCTCACAGAAGCCACCCCTATGCCATCCCTGCTCCCATTACCAATACCTTGCCACACGAACCTTATATGCCTTGTGAGGAAGTTATAGGCTGCGATAAGGTGTCCTCTCAGTCTCCTCTTCTCCAGGCTAAGCAAACTTCAGCCTCTCCTCATACAGCTTCCCCTCATCAATTTAGTGGCCCTCCTCTGGATACTAATAGCTTTATATCCTTTTTATACTGTAGTGCCCAAAACTGCACACAGTACTCAAGGTGAGGCTGCATCAGTGCAGAGTACAGTGGGACAATCATATCCCTCAACTGGCTTGTAATACGGTGCTTAATGCAGCCCAGGACACGGTTGACTCTCTTGACTGCCAGGACACACTGTTAGCCTATGTTCAACTTGCCATTGACCAGAACCCCCAGATCCCTCTCTGCAGGGCTACTCTCCAGCCTCTTTCCGCCCCCCAAATAATTATAAATAAATAAATAGATAGATAGATAGATAGATAGATAGATAGATAGATAGATAAATAATACATCTCCACTGAAATGGAGCCTCAAAAAATTTCTCAACAATTGTGCTTGTTGCTCTCCATAGAAATCTTTAGTAAAAGGCAAAAGATTTATAAGATCTGAAGAGAAATCAAACTTCATGTAAAGTTACTGACATCACCAGTCTTTTTCAGATATCCTCATGTGCTATTCTTGCAAGAGCAGCAAAAAGATAAAAATACTGACTGTGCAGATGTCAGATCTACAGAACACAATATAGACGTGACTGGAATGGAACCAAGTTTTGTATAACCGAAGGTAAAGAAAATAATCCAAGTGATAAGAATTTAGGAGGAATTTGAAGGAGTAAATTAGAGTCTTGTCTGCAATGAATACTCAGCTAGGTAAAAGGTTTTTTTCATCTGTTTCACCATGAAATAAATTCAATTTATTCAATAAATTCAAACAGTTCAACAAAATCTGTCAAGAAAAAATATGTGGAAGTCTATTTTTTTTGCTGCAAAATATCTTCTTATTAGCAGTGCTTGAAGGCAGATAACAGTGGAATGATACTATTGAGGAAAAAGGCTAGCAACAACATAGGAAATTACGTGGGTTGATCCTGATTTCATGTGTGTAATTTTATGCCAATTTCAGATGTGAGTCTCCCCTGGGAAGTGAAAGTCTGTATGTGATCTAGGTCCAATACCCTACCTGAAGATTCAAAAATGCTCTGAAGGACAGGAATTTCTCCTTAAACTCTAGAACAACCTGTTCCCTGGGAGAATCCAGTGAAAGAGAGTGGTGGGGAGTGTTTAATTTTGTTTTATTCTAAGGGATAATAATTACTTGGGTTCCTTTTATAAGACACCTGTGCACATTTTGTTGCCTTACTGATCCAAGGCTGGGCTCTCTAATATGGCCGTTCTTGCCTGCTTATATTTCCATTTCCCTGGGCATGTGTATATGTTGCTATATTTTTTCTCTATTGATTGTTTTTCCACTAGTTTTTCTGCTTTTAGTTTTCCAGAACTGAATAGCCAAAGTTTATATAGTCTAGAAGAATAGACTTCTAAGTTAGAGCTCACTTTATAATAGTTTGCTGTCTTAAGTTTCTTTTTTTTTCTCCTTACATTTGGCAATGCCTCAAAGTCCATATGCCAAACATTGTATAAATAGGAGTAGTCATGATGCAGCTTAAAGTTTAATTAAAGACAGGAAAACAAGAGCTAATTGTAAAACGATAGCAAAGACACTGACAGCAATAGTAAAAATGTCATATATTTAAATAGGCTCAATGTGCGGTTTGTGCACAGCTCCAAATCAGAAGTCCAATGGCTTTGACACTTGCTTTCCACAAAATCAAGTGGCTCCTCCAAATTTTCTGTCTTCCCTTCTCCCCTTTGCCACTCATGGAGAAGCTGTTCTGCTGTTTGCCTGCACAATGCTCTGTCCCTTGTTTTATGCTCTCTAACTGCCCTGTCAGATAGAAATGTTAGGGTCCAGATACTATATATGCAGATTAAAGTTTGTAGAGAAACTATACAAGCTGCAGCCAGGAGGGAATTTCCTGAGGTATTGACCCCTTCTCAACACTGTTTTTTCAAGCAAAGAGTATTCTCAGCTCTTGTATTTCCCGGTACCCAACTCAAGCTACTTGCACTGAGAGGTGCCATTGTCTACGGTCTGGAGAAGGAAAGCCTGGGACCCCCATTATCCTGCTGTTAAACAGACTTTCCCTTTAAGCTCCAGGGTGGCACTGAACCATGATTCATCTTCTCTCCCCACCTGAATTCTCTGGCAATTTCTGCCCTGTAACATTCTGATGCTAAAAAGCTGTGTCACCCACCAGCTTGATCACCAGGTCAGCTGCTTCCACTTCCAGATATACACCAAAGGCTGGTGTTCCAGCCCCAGAGGGCAGCCTGGAACATGGCGGGGGGAGGGGTGGGTATAGGGAGGGAGGGAGGGATGTGATGTTGTGCTTACCGCAGCAAAGATAAAACACTGCACACATTTTTTAGACTGAGGGTCCAGCCCTATCTTGGTATTTATCCTGCGTGCAGCTGCACCACAACTTATTTCAAAGAACCCATCTGTATTATCTGTTTTCTGTGGATGACCTTACTGTCAATATCTAGTAACCTTTCATGTAATGATTGTCTCATGAGAGAGGCAATAGCTGTTATTCATCCTTCACAGACAAGTAGACAGAAACTCCAGTACTGAATCTGTCCTAGTATGGCATCTCTGCAGAGCACATGGCCATACCGTAATGACTTAGCAGTCTTCTGACAAGTTAACGTATTAAGATTTTCAGCCTGACTCACATCTGCTCACATCCTGCTGCCTATCTTAATCTGGCCTGATAGATGTACAGACAGAAGGTGTCACTATTTCAGCAAGCCTGCATGAGAAGTACTAGGGGAAGAAGAGAGGAAGGCAAGACAGAGGTAGTACTGTTTGGAGGAGGAAAGTAATTTGAAAGTCTATGTGAGATACCATCAGTGTTTGTTGGTGGTGCAAATCCCTAAGGCAGTGCTTGACTCTAACATGGCTCTTCACAAAGGTCCATTTCACAACAGCCTTCCAGGCAAGGAAGTCCCCTCTCGTCCTTAAAGAATGCTCCAGCTGAGGGTCACTGGAGAGACACACACTGTGTGCTCTCACTTCATCAGGGCGAGCACCACGTTAGCCTCCATTGCCTCAGGGACAAAAACAATAGAGGCATCCAGGCTGGGATGCCTGTAGGGTGGTGAGATGGCAAATAGGAGGGCTTTGCCTTCCCATTATCTCTTGAAAGAACACTCCACTGAAGTTAGGAAAGGGAAAGATGAAAACAATGATATCTAAATTTTAAAAATGTTCCCATTTAAAGAAGAATCTTTATATCTCAGCAGCAGTTCTCCTTCCAAGGAAATTTATATTTGATCACTTCTCTGACCTCTTTTTTTTAATTAGTTTCAGATACGTATTGTGTATTTAGTAGTTCTTTGCCTGAGGTGGTGATGGTCTTTTTTTTCCAAATTGCACCAAGACTGATTTCAAGTGTGGCATATTTTCTATTGTCATGCAGTACTTTCCTTCTAAATGTCCCTCTGTTCTTTCTTAAGCAAAACAAGCTTATATATTTTGATATATATGATAAATAGCTCCCTTATGAAAAATAGGGGCCTAAGATATTTTGCAGATTATAGCACAGAAAATAAAAAGATGAAAGGGAAAATAAAAGCTGAATTTTTTATTACTGTCCTTAGAAATGTATTCATCTTCATTGTTTTAAGAGCTAGACTTTGTTGTATTTTGATATATATGATAAATAGCTCCCCTATGAAAAATAGGGGCCTAAGCTATTTTGTAGATTATAACACAGAAAATAAAAAGATGAAGGGGAAAATAAAAGCTGAATTTTTTTATTACTGTCCTTAGAAATGTATGCATCTTCATTGTTTTAAGAGCTAGACTTTGTTTCACTAATAACTGCAAGATATTCACAGGCCCTTGCACAGATCCTTTTGCTTACAGTGGTAATCAAAATGTTTTCATTTCTTTCCTCTGCTTAGTGAACACATTTAGCAGTTCTAGCACATTGTTCCCTTCCTCATATGCTGCAGCACATAAGAGTGTCCATCACTGAAGTTTTAGAAAATAACCTGCTGAATTTAAAGGATTCCTTATATCTCTGTGAAACTTAATTATCTAAAATTTCAATTTTTTTTTTAAATGTTCTTAATAAAATGTCTAAATAATGTCTTATTTATAGTAAAAAAGTGTGGGATTTTAAAAGATGATTGGGTTTTTCTGTACAAGTGTCAAAGGTGTGTATAGTGTCATTATAAACTCTGACAAAATATTAGCAAGTTCTGACAGTGCTGGAGCCATGGAAATGTCCAGCTTATTGGTCTAGTCCCACGTAAACAAAATTGTCTTATGTTCAGTACAAACTTTGATCTTGTGGTATATGAAGGTGTTTCTACTTGTCATGAACCATGTAAATATAATTCAAATTAAAGTAAAACTTAACGAAGGCTGTAACTGGCAATTTTTTTCTTCTCCCTGGAAGTGTTTAAGGCCAGGTTGGATGAGGCTTTGAGAAACCTGATCTAGTGGAAGGTATCCCTGCTCATGGCAGGGAGGTTGGAACTGGATGATCTTTAAGGTCCCTTCCAACCCAAACCATTCTATGATTCTGTGATTCTATATAACATGAGGCAAAACATAAGGAAGATCCTGGAAACAAGAAAAATAAATGCACTTATTTTTCATTTGCATCCTTTTGAAATAATGCCTTCAGTCCTGCTTAGTAGCTTGTTTAAAAACTTTAAATTGCTAATTAATTCCTCTCAGAATAACCTTTCTTAGCCAGTTTTAGGATTGTTCCATGTGAATCTGATTTTAAATGGTTCTGTCGCAGTATGCTTGATGTTCCAAAGACAAGCAGAGAAGGAAATATTGCATTACAGCGAGGGACATACTGCCTAGCAGGGAGATGGAGCTTGCAATATGTGGAAAAATAATTCAGTGTAATAGTTTCACTGGGCTAGCCCTTGGCTAGCAGCCAGCACAGCCGTTCACCCACTTCCCCCCACTTCCCCCCACCCCCAGGGGATAGGGGAGAGAATTGGGGGCAAGGATTAGGAGGCTTGTAGGTTGAGATAAAAACAGTTTAATAATAGAAATAAAAGAAAACTTAAAAAAAACCCCTAAACAACTAATATTAAAATAGTAGTGATAATGATAGCAGTAATAAGATATGCCAATGAGTGGTAACCCAGTGCAACTGCTTACCACCCACTGATAAGCCCGGCCTGTTCCAGGATAACAATCCTGGAGGAGCAACAATCCTGACCCAAAACCGTGACCCCGGAAGAGCAAGAGCCCGAGAGAAAACCCCTGAAAATCCAC